TTTCAAAATTCATCCTTCACACAAAGACAAGTATGGCAAAGGCAGCACCTTAAAACTGGGCTTTCAGTAGGCATTCTAGGATAGTTTAAAAAAGCCATTGTTTTTCGCACAGGCATTCATTTCTTTGCAGCATGTTTGAGGCATCTACCAAGAACCGATGGCCGGCTAGCAATTAACAAGGTGATACGCACAAAGCCTCGTGAAACTCAACCTTCCTCACTTTGCTGCAAAGTAATATATGTGTTGCACTTGTGTGTACATGTAGCAATGATATATTTTCTAAGGCACCTGTTGCATCTGCAAACTTCTCACCAAAATAGAGCCTTCAAAGTCATCGTATAGCATGTCATTGCAATAATGATCTGCACTGCCATTTGAAAACCTACTACTGTAAATTTTAAAAATAACGCAGCTCTATACATGGCAATACATGCATCACTGATGAGCACTGTTTCGCAATTATACAGAACGGTCGTGCCTTCACCTGGAATTCTTAATCTGACCCCGCGCCCCTGTAATGTAGAATAGCTAATCAGTTCCACCTGGTTAACACCACTGACATTTTATTGCCTTTTCTTCTCTTTTTCTTTTGTTTTACTTCATGTAGCTGTGTAGCTGAAAGAGGCAATAATCCTGTGGATCAATACTACCAGCTGTCTAAAAGAAAGCAAAGCACACAAACAAATTTGCTTCATACGTCTGTACATGAAAATGGCTATTTGACAACTTGCTTGCTCGGAAACTTGAAAACTAATAATGAAGCAGCTTGACACGAGGTTTGAGATCTTCAACACGGAGCTTCTGTATTAGGATGCATAAGAGTCATTGGTAACCTAACGGTCGTGCCTTCACGTGGAAGTCTTTTTCTGACTCGGCCTTATACTGTAGGATAGCAGATCAGCTCAACCCAGTTCGCCTTTTACCTCGGTTTCAATTCATGTGCCTGTGTAGTAAAAAGATGTATTAATCATGTAGATCAATACTACCGACTGTCCATAGGAAGTTAGAGCACAAAAACAAACTTGGTTCATACATCTGTTCTTCGTTCTTCAGTTATATATTTGTGCTGATGATTCTATTTGTGTTCTTAAGCACGAAGCATTTATTCAACAATTTTGAGTGTTTCCGTAGCTGCCTATGACTTTGTGCTTTCCTGGTCATTTTGCTAATGGGATATATACCAAAATTAGTATGACGTAACATGACTGTACGACTATCATAAATCTTTGGTCATAACATGAAAATAATGACATGTAAGTTATGAATGTCACAATAAACATGCCATGGTGTCGGTACTCGTGCTACAGTTTTCTTTTTTGATATATCTCAATTGGTAATGCATGACATGAGTCTATGATTACCATATGTTGTAGCTTGTGACATGATAATCATGACATACATGTCATGTACAGCATGATATACATGACATGTTCTCGGGGAGCTGCCGGCCATTTATACAAATAGAAATATACCAAAATTGGCGTCACATAACATTTTTGTATGACAAACTTGAGTAAAGTGACTTCGAAGCCAGGCTCATGCTGCACTTATGGCAGTTTCACTAGCTTTACATGTACCAAATTGGATATTGCGGGACATGACTTTAGAGGAATGTGAATGGCAGGCCCTAACATGGAAGTCATGACATGCATGTCTCATCTAGCTTGAATAACGTGACTGTCTTCATGCACTTCCAGCCGTTTTGTTAATGTGGTTTGACATGAACGCCTAATGAACATAAATGACACGTAATGCATTGTAAATACCATAATACAGGCATCATTATCAGAGCGTATATACACCAGCATGATTGTATGTGCACACATACATAAAAGCATAGGCTATATATGTAGCAGACTAGATGTCTAACAAGAATGACCTAATTTTTTGCCTAAAAGACAAACAAGATGTTGTATGTATGCAGCTGACTGCTTTGAATTACATCACATCAAGCAGTGCGTTGGAAATACCGGATTTTAATACTTTTGTATAGTATCGATATACCTTCATTTATGAACGTTGTTTTTTTATTAGCCGAAAATAATATTTGAAGAACAATGTGTTCAGAAACAACTGAATAAACAGTATGCATATTTTATAACAAGGTAATGAACTAAAACTTTTACTTTTGTTGTACAAATGTTTTCTGCAAGAAACGCAGACTTATGGGTTCCGTCTAACTCACCCATGTCTCTTCCTTCTGTAGAACGCCATGCTTTAATTTTGGCGATAGTTATAGCGTAAGAGCAGAACGAAGACGAAGGGACATGAAGGAGACGTCCGTTTGTCATTGTTCTGCTTTCGCGCTATAACTATCGTCATGTCATACCAACTAGCCCAAACAACCACACTTCTAAGTTTAAATATGGCACATGGGTATTTCTACACAGCAGATGCAAAGTTTGTGATTTTCGTACGTCAGATGAATGATTCATGTGATCATATGGATCCGACTTCCATATGATTCGAACGATCCACATAATTCATATTTATTTATTCATTTCAGAAATACTGCCAGCCTCTCACATGAAACCTTAGGCAGGTGTGGGCGATACAAAGTAGGTAGCATATAGAAACGCAACAAAAATAATACATCCCAAGCGTAGCTACAATATTGAGAAAAAGTGAAATGCCAGTACTTACACAATATTAGCAATTACCACATGCGCACACGGGAAAAAAGAAAGCAAGAAAACAACACAACTGCAATGATGACAAGTTTCTGCTCAAGAAATTAAAAAAAATAAAATGTTGAAAAAAAAGAGCCGCCATTTACCAGGGAGAAAGTCACCAATGAGTCAGAATACAAAGCCCTGAATACAAGCATACCATAATTATATCTCAAGAACTAATACAGAGAAGGTTTAAAGAAGATGAAAGTCACGTGAATGCCCGTGTCTAAGTTTTTCCATAAACGACCGAACGTTTTCGCAGTTTAAAAAAATCCCCAGGCAGAGTATTCCAGCTAGTGACAGTTCGCAAAAAAAAAAAGTGAGTGTTAACGGTGGTTGTTTTGCAGGAATACTCCTTCAGTATTTTCAGAAGATTGTAATGAGTAGAGTGGCGGAGAACAGTTTATATATACGCATCCTTGTTTATTCGGAGGTTATTATGGTAAAAAAACATGTACTTTATTAGATCGTGTTGCCATCTTACCTGCAATGTATGTAGGCCAGCTCTTTCCAAAACGTCACTGGGAGACGTAAGATAGCAATAAGAATTACAAACAAATCGAATTATTTTCTTAAAATCATTTAGATTCTGTCAATATTTACTTGAATGTGAGAATCCCAAGCCACAGATGAGTATTCAAGGATTGGACGGATAAAAATGTTATAGTTTTCTTATCGCCATATGGTTGTTTTGTATAAAACCAGCCTCCTAGATTCCGCTTGCCTGCCAGATTATCAGCGTTCACTTGGGAAGCGGCCATCGTCGGAACAGCGGTGGTGGCACCACTTAAGTAGGGTTTTCTTCAAATAAACTTTACGTTTTCGCAGCCCGTATGCAACAAAAACAACGTAAAAAATTTGAAAAAGCGTAAACGTTGTTATAATTATTTTTAATTAACCCTACGTAAGTCACGTCGTCATAAATGAAGGGCGTTCCGCGCTAATTCAGCAGGCAACCCCTTCAATACAAGTCATAGCCTCTAAAATTAGCAAACGCCAAAACTGCTGATCTCAAAGGCCAAGTACAAAGACCCTTAATTTTGCGCTGGTTGCTCTGTCATAGATGACGGGCGTTTCACGCTTATCCGGCAGGCAAGAAAATATTAGAGGCTATGGTATAACAGATACGGATATCCCCATGTGCCATATGCTGCTTTCCACACTTCTTTACAATTTCCGCATGCATCCGCATAAGTCTGTACGAAGTACGTATATTTCATGCAGACAATATACGGAATTCGTGTACCTTTTGCATGACGGCATATGTTTTTTTCAGTAGGGCTAGCTCCTTTTATTTTTCTCTCTTTACGTCATCACCAATTGAACAGTCCTGTGCACATACTGGTTAAGGTTTGCTGCAAGCACCTCTCTGACTTAAGTGATTTTGAGGCCGTGTTCGCACAGCAAGTGTTTGGGTAACATCATGAAAAGCGTTACTCGGGGCCTGCAATATACAGAAGTGATACTTGTGAGCATGAGCTCACCCAAACTCAATTTCCGCAGGACCTGATCAGCTCTGCCTTCATGAACGCTCTTGAAATAGCATGGTTTACGATCTTCAAGTGCGCAGAGGAAATATGGGAGCAGCCTTCTTTCAGATCTAACGCTTAGCTGTAACAAGCTCGGCTTTTGAAGAACGACAGGGCCAAAGGTAGCCTGTCGTTGGAAGAATGCTAAGTGTTGGACTTAAGAGGTTATTATTGCGGAAGTAATAGGTCCAAAATGGTAGCAGAAGCTGGCTATACGTACCAGTAGCACTTCAAACAACTCAATATCATCCTTACTGCAGTCGTGTGACTCAATTGGTTTCAACTTTACAGCCCAAACTGCCTAGTAAAACGCCATTGAAAACCAGGGCGGTGCAGGATCCTATGCGTACTCCTATCTGCTGTAAAAAGAAAGTATAAAAAACTAAATGTAAATGGAATATTACTGTGTAAAAATGAGACAAGTACCAAGCCTATTAGGGTATGAAAATCAATACTGTGGCTCAATGTGCCCGAATTCTGAAAAGCGTTATCTAAGTTGAACGCAAAACAGTGCTTCCATTCTGCGTGAGTACTAGAGAAGATGGAGCCACTAATGATCAAGGATTGCTGTGAGAATTTCAGTCACCGATCAAAGGGGAATAACGAGCTTTGTCACCTCCGCGCTCGTCGTGTGCACTCTTCTCTTCGGTCCTTGTTCTCGCGCTTCAAATTTGTTCTTTATTGTCATTGAAACTCGCCCAAGCAACACCTCCTGCGTTGTCCCCATATGCTCTGCTACCACACTAACGTGCAATAATAGTTTTGGTAAAGCCCCTCTGTTTTTTTTTCGCGTTTGCAGTAGCGTGTCGATGGACCTATGGCGCTGCGCTGCCGGTGTCTACGAAGGCTGTAACCAGAAGGAGCCCATACGGACAGCCCTAAACGATGTGATCAATGCCCTCTTAAAGTCCATCAGCTGCCAGAACACTAAAATTGCCGAAGACATCCACAACGGTCAGTGTAGAGCATGATTTATTACAGCTACGCAACTTCTCTACTACAACAGCTTGTGTAATGGTGTTGCTAGACTTCATGTTCTAATGCTTAGTTCTGCGCAGTGTATTCACAGGGTGTTTATTAGTTCTGGTCTGCTTTGCATTGGATATTCCACAGCTATACTTTTATGACTAAACACCACGTTTCATGTGGCAACAAAAGTTCGTAAATTATTTCGAGGCTCATCCCTATCCAAGCAATACAAAAATCATGCATTTAAGTCAAACTTAATTCGTTGTATTCTCTGCTTAGCAGAAGTTCCAAGACAGGTATGAATTGGCTTGGCATTAAAAGTGTGCCTTGTAAAAATCATTTTCTATCTGCTGGACAGATTTTTAACTACGGCACTAAACAAATGTTTTATTCATTGTAACAACTTGTATCTTGGACGCCATGCTTGTTTCTTCATTTTGTATGAACCATGAAAATTTGTCAAAAGGGTAACCGCGGTGTTTGATAAGAAAGTTTAACCTGAAAGCAAAGATTGAAAGTGAATTTTCTGGTTTTTTACCTGCAAACAACACTTCTAACGAAGAAATGTTGCCCTGCTGCCGACGCTCATTTGAAAACTTACATGGACGTTAGCAAAAACGACGAGAAATGATCAACACTAGAACAAGAAAAGTTAAGGCAGTTTGAAATTAGGGACGCCAGCCTGAAAGAAGGCGCAGCTGGGCAGCTTTCGTTTTTTAATTCTTTTTGGCTTCGTTTTTTTCTTTCCTATTTTTTATTGTTTTTTTCTGTTCTTTCTTTATTGTTCCCATTTTTTCTCCTTCATCGTTAAGTCGCCATGGTGGTATAGTGGCTAAGGTACTCGGCTGCTGACCCGCCGGTCGCGGGATCAAATCCCAGCTGTAGTGGCTGAAATTTCGATAGAAGCCGATGTGCTCAAATTTGGGTGCACTTTAATAACCCTAGGTGGTCCATATTTCCGAAGCCCTTCACTATGGTGTCTCCCTTAATCTATGGTACTTTAGAATGTTAAACCACACCTAAAAATCAATTATCCTCTCTCTATATGTATGTCTTTCTCTTTATATTTTTCTTCCATTGTCTTCCCTTTCTCTCCTTTGAGTGTCACGCTTACTTCATGGAGGTACTTTTACAGCGCAAACACAGACACACGTACCACAAAGTAAAAGACCACACAGACAAGCGCTGACTTACAAATGATTTTATTTTGGGAAAGTCAATGCATATATACCTCCCAGGCAGTGATACCGCACATACGTCACTCAATCGACAAAAAGACACCCACAAAATTGTAAGCTCAGATGAAAAATGAAGCTGTGTATTACATACTCAAATAAATCAAATCAAACTCCGATGGGTGCAGGGGAAGAGAGGTGGCACTTTTGCAAAGATGAGCGTTTTTACGGATATGATAGGCTTCGAAAGCCAGCAGCGCATGTTCATTGTTGATCCTGCAAAGGATCGACGTCCCTTCCAATTGCGCCTCACAATGGCAGCAAGCGTTACTATGTGCCACAAGATGGGCTTCTTTATCGACATTCTTGCTAACTTTTTGCGAATGTTCTCTGAGCTGCTGGTTTATGCACCTTCCAGTTTTTCTTATATAGAATTTACCACGTGATAGCGGATGGCATAAACCACGCCGACGGCACACGGGACATAGGTCACACCGTGTCGAAATACGCACCCTCCTCTGCTCATACCGCAGGTGCGGGAGAAGTTTAGAAAGCTTGTTTGGGGCAGACGGCGCCAAAGTGACACCGTGTCTGTCTGCCACTTTCTTGAGCTGCTTGGAGGTCAGATGCATATACGGGACACCACAGGCCTCCCTTTGTCCGATAAGGCGTCACCCCGCTTGGTGGATCTCTTTTTCTGAATGACCATTTCCTTCACTGCAGTCAAGACCGACTTGGGGAACCCAGCAGCTAAACGTCGGCCTATGTGATTTGTGAACTTATCTTGCATTTTGTGAGTGCATAATTTTTTAAGAGCCACTTCCATGACCGCCATCGCAATTTCTCTTTTTACAATTTCCGAATGTGCCGACTTATAAGGTAGCAAATCTTTGTTTGCGTGCAGGTGGTAGGACCAACACACGGGATGTTCACAAAACTCGAGCCTTGATTCTAAGAACTATAAAACGCGTTTCAGCGGGCGCTCATATGTAAAAACAAGACCTCGTCTGCCGGTGTGGGCTGAAATCATCCACCATCTTAGTCACCGAGTCATGGTAAGAGATGTCTGGAGATAATAAATCCAAAAATTATTGATATACCTAAAAACCTTTAGAACTTTTCCGCCTTAAAGCATTTTTTAAAGAACCACCGATATTTGCTAAAAAAGATCTACAAGAAGAGGAACCAGACAGGACATGATACATATGCCGTTGCCCCGCCGCGGTGGTCTAGTGGCTAAGGTACTCGGCTGCTGACCCGCAGGCTGCGGGTTCGAATCCCGGCTGCGGCGGCTGCATTTCCGATGGAGGCGGAAATGTTGTAGGCCCGTGTGCTCAGATTTGGGTGCACGTTAAAGAACCCCAGGTGGTCTAAATTTCCGGAGCCCTCCACTACGGCGTCTCTCATAATCATATAGTGGTTTTGGGACGTTAAACCCCACATATCAATCAATCATCATCAATCAATTACATATGCCGTTACGCTGCAAATATGACTGGTCACTAAAAGCGATATAAGTGATCTTACTATAAAACTGTAAAAGGCTCACTAAATTGCTCAAAGAAACACCAACAAAATTCTGAAAAGGAAGAGCCCCAAAACCCTGAATGAACACTTGAACGGTAGGCATAAAATCTAGCTGAGGTACAGAAAAAAACAATGCCTCAATGTAAACTGATAAGGCATATCCCACATTAGTATTTCCACTAAAGACCTGCCCAGCATCATCTTAATTTTTCGTACGAAATGGATCATTGTACACAAGCAACTTCAATTTATTCTGCAAAAACAGGCTAAGATTGTGTTGCCAGCACCCCGATTCACTGATAATGGTTCTGAAATGTAGTTCTGTCTAATAGGTCTTGGCCGTGAAAAACACAGTTAAAGAGTTGCCTCTACTATTTCGTATGTTTTTGGCAAGCGATGTTAATTCCATTTTTTACAAAAATTCACAAACATAAGAAAGCGTTTTTGCAGAAGAAATTGAAGTCGCTGGCATACAATGATGAACTTTGTACGTAAAATGCAGATGATGTGGTGCAGATCTTCAGTGGATATACTAATGCGAGATATCGTTTCTCAGTTGAAATTGAAGATTTGTTTTATTCTGTACCTCAGCATGAGCTTATGTCTTCATTGTAGCCGAGAATTGAGGGGTTCGGGGCTGTGCTTTTCGAAATTTTGTCAGTGTTTCTCTGAGCGATGTCTTGAGCGTTTTAGAGGTTTATCTTAAGATCAATTTCATTGTTTTTAATGATCAGTCATATTTCAAGCGCAGTGGCATATGTATTGTGTTCTGTGTGGTGCCTCTACTTGTAGATAGCTTTAGCAAATATGGATGGTTCTTCAAGCGAATGCCTTAGCACAAGAAAAGTTCTAAAGAGTTTTAAGGTATGTCGATATTTTTTTTTGGTTTTATTCTCTCCACACTCCTCCTACGAGTACTACGTCACTAAGGTTCTGGATTATTTTAGCCAACACCGGCAGACGAGGCTTTGTTTTTACATTTGAGCTCCCGCTGAAACACGTTTTATAGTTTTTAGAGTTAAGGCTCGAGTTTTGTGAACCTCAAGTGAGTTGGTCCTACCAACCACGGGCAAACTAAAATTTGCTACCTTTTAATTCGGCACATTCGAAAATTGTAAAACGACGAATAGCGATGACGGCCATGGAAGTGGCTCTTCGAAAATCATGCACTCACAAAATGCAAGATAGCTTCGCAAATCACATCGGCTGACCTTTGGCTGCTGAGTTCCCCAAGTCAGTCTTGACTGCAGTGACGGAAACGTTCATTGAGAAAAAGATATCCACCAAGCGGGTGGACGCCTTACAGGACAAAAGGAGGCCTGTGGTGCTCAAGAAAGTGGCAGGCAGACGTGGTGTTAATTTGGTGCTGTCTGCCCCGTACAAGTTTTCTTAGCTCTTCTCCCACACCAGCGGTATGAACAGAGGAGGGTGCAAAATTCGATATGGTATGATTTACGTCTTGTGTGCCGTCAGCGTGGTTTATGCCATCCTACTATCTTGGGGTAAGTTCTATATTGGAAAAACTGCAGACGAATAAACAAGTGGCTAAGGGAACACTCAAAAAAGATTAGCAAGAATGGCTGTAATGGAGCTCATCTTGTGGCGCATAATAACGTTTGCTGCAATTGTGAGACACGATTTGAAGGGACGTCGATCCTTGGCAGGAGCAACGATGAGCTATATAAATGATAGGCTATATTATCATAGGATTTGGAAGCCTATAATATTAGAAAAACTACTGATCTTTGCGTAAGTGACACCTCTCTCTCCCTGCACCCATCCGAGTTTGATTTCGTTTCTTTGCGTATGTAATACACTGCTTCATTTATCAACTCGGAGTATCATTTTGTGTGTGATTTTCGTCGATTGCGTCACGTGTGTGTGGTATGGCTGCCTTGCAGGTATATATGCAGTGACTTTTCCGAAATAAAATCAGTAACTAGTCAGTGCTTTTGTGTGTAGTTTCTTTCTTTGTGGTGTGTCTTTGTTTGAGCTGTAAAAGCACCTCCATGATGATGAGCCAACTAGGCCCAAAAAAAGTTTTACTGACGCCTGCTTCCTCTTTTTTAACACAAAATCGTTTTATTCTTGAGCCCATTACAGCTCCGCTGACGTACTTTCGTCACAGATACGACATTGTAATATATACTTGCACAAATTGCGTTGAAAAAGAAAATACCAGGTCTACGCGGAGCAGTCAGCACTGTCACAGCAAAAGCTGGAAGAGTGGCTTTCCATAGCTTCTTTCACATTCTTCGGGCAGCTGCTGCAAGCACACTTGTA